GAAAGATGAGGGACCTGTGGTGAGAACTGAGCAACAGGGAGGCGAGGGCCACACGGATCGGTCAGGGTTCTTAAAGCCAAGCTTCAGCTTCTACCGTCAGCCATGCCTCCTGGCTCATTCCCTGCCTCTGTGATAAACAACAGATCTCTCCAGTGTTTTGTAATGAATTAGATTCTGATGAGGCCAAAAGAGGGAGCAGGATTTCAGAGAGGCCAGTCATTGCTTTAAACAGAAGTGCTTGAAAGCTTTCACTTACGGCACTTCTTAGATATTTAAAATATACTTATGCATTTTAGTCTGTTTGAATCTTTGTTGAGAATAAAATAGTCAGTGATGTCTAAACAAGAGAAATGGACAGAGAGTTAACACTGGATAGGAACAGGGAAAATCACTTAAAATTGATGTCCTTGTACACAAAATAAGGTGAGGACTTGTCTAGATATTGTAAAAGGTTTCTCTCAGTTCTGACATTCTATGACATTCATTCATTCATTCATTCATTCATCCATTCATTCAGTGCCAGGCATGGGTGAGCTGAACAAACATCTCTAATGAAGCTGACATTCTATTGGGAGAGACAGACATAAACATGTGTGCAGATAAACATCTAGGGTATGATTTCAGGTAGTAAGTGCTATGAGGGACGTAGAGGGGAAGAGGAGAAGGTGACATTTGAACAGAGGAAGCGAGTCATGTGGATATCTGATGCAAGAGCATCCCACAGGAAGTACAGAGGCCCCTAGGCAGGCCCTATTTCAGGAGCAGCAAGGAGGTGGCAGCCGCCAGGAGGAAAGCGGTAGACAATGAAGGCAGGAGGCTGCTGGGTGCCGATCTAACAGAACCTCAGTCCCATGGCAGGTGATGGGGAAGCAGCCTTGGGACACTGAGCAGGGGATACCTCTGCCGTGTGTTTAAGAGCTAGGTTTAATGTGGGTAAGTGGGCAGCCTGGAAGCAGGGGACCAGAGACAGATAAGGGGTGCTTGCTGTTGAAATCCCAGTGAGACATGATAGTAGTTAGGGCTAGAGTGGGTGTGGATGGAGTGGTAAGCAATGGTTGGATTTGGGATATATTTTGAAGATAAAGCCATCGGGGATGTTGATGGGTTGGATGGGAGTCAATGAGGAATGAGAACAATCCAAGATGCTCCCAGGCTCTTGGCCAGAGCAACTAGTTTTAGTCCCCTTATTTGGGCCGGGGTACACCGGTATGGAAAGGAGGCATAAAGCAAGAATTCAGACGTGCCAAGTTTAAGAACTCCAACTGGACATCTAAGGGAGGTTGTTGAGAAAGGAGTGGAAGATATAAATCAGACACGTAAGGGAGAGGGGAAGCTGGCGGTAGACATTCAAGCATCTCTAAATAGATGCATTTAAGATCATAGAATTGACTGAATTCCCTAGGCAGTGTGTGTAGATAAAATAGAGAGAGGACTGATGGGTCTCAGAGGAAAGCTGGGGGGTGAAGATATTAACCAAAGAACTTAGATGCATATATACATAACCCATGGGCAGGCAATTTGGTAGTTCAGCGAAAGTCTTGGGGTTGGGGGGGGGGGACAGGAGAGGGGTGGAGGTGACCAAGAGGGGAAAATACTTTCAACAATAAAAATGAAAAATAAAAAGAAACATAACTGTTATCATAAAGCTCTGATTTCAAATGAAAAAAAAAAAAAGCCCTAGCTGCTTTGGCTCGGTGGACAAAGCGTTGGCCCACGGACTGAAGGGTCCCAGATTTGATTACGTTCAAGGGCATGTACCTCAGACTTGATCTGATCCCAGGCTTGATCCTTGAGCTTGGTTGGGGCATGTGGGGGAGGCAACCAATTGATGTGTTTCTCTCACATTGATGTTTTTCTGTCTGGGTCTCTCCCCTTCCCTTCCACTCTCTCTAAAAATCAGTGGTAAAAATATCCTTGGGTGAGGATTAACAAAATAATAATAAAAAAAGGACTGAAGTAAGAACTCTGGGCCATCCCAACATTTTGAGGTTGGGAAGAAGAGAGACAGCAATCAAAGAGACTGAGCAGCAGTAGTCAGAGAGAGAGGAGGGAGCCTCAGAGAGTGGGTGTCCTAGGAGGTATGAGAAAGGAGGGCTTCAAGAGAGAGGGAGGGGAGAGTTGTGCCAACACTGCTGAGAGGTTAAGTTCAGACTGGGAGTTGATTGATGGACTGACTGGACAAGAGAGAGAGGCAGCGAAGAGTAGTTCAGGGCAGTATCAACTACAAATGCTTAGCTGGAATATACTAAAGATTGGGACTGGAGGAAGTAAGGAGACAGTGAGGCGAGACCACGCATTAAGGGGTCCTTTTAGAAGGAGCAGAGGAAATGCGGAGGTAGCAGCAGGGCAATATGGTTCCAAAAGAGAATGATCTACTAAGATGGGAAGTATTGTGGCAGGTTTTTATGCTGTTAGGAATGATTCCATGGAAGAGGAAACACCAATGATGCAGAAGACAAACAGCAATGGTAAGAACAAAATCCTTGACCAGGCAGGAGGGGCCGGGATTCAGGGCCCGAGGGGGACTGAGAGCAGCAGGGACGGCCCAGCCTCTGTGAGAGGGAAGGCAGATACGGGTTGCCTGAGAGATTTGGAAGATGAGGCAGTTCTGGTGTGATTGCTTCTATTTTTTTTCTGTGAAACATGAAGAAAGGTCTTCGGCTGGGCTGGGTGTGAGAAATGGGAGGGCGTGTTGGCTGTTTGAGGGAAGCTGCGAAGTAGTCAGCCTGCGGTGGGGGTGGAGAGTGACTGAACAGGGACATGTAATGTGATTTCCAGCGTCATAGACACTGGGTACATACAATTCTACCAAGAGATTTGGGGCAACTAGAAATGCAGGGAGGGTGAAGGTCTGAGAATGAGGGGTCCATACACTACCTTGCACACATTTGGATAAATCCCTCAAGTTGAACACGTAATGGGACTTGGCTGGTGTTGGCAGAAGATCAACACTCATTCTGTTATAAATCTCAACTGAGGCTTCGACAATGTTGGATGCGGTTTGCTTGACAGCTGGTTGAAAGTCAAACAGGAAGCCGTTTAAGATGGCCTAGAACCAGAAACATATAGGTTAGATTTTTTTTTTCCACCAAAAATGTATCTTTCAAATGTTCCAGATCTGATGATACTTTTTCTAATAATAACTAGGAGGGTGAATTCCAATGCAAGGACCTCTGTGTGTTAAGCTCTTCTGTTCATTTCAGAATACATTCTCAAGAATGGGCTCGCTCCTGTCTTCTGTGATGGTCTGCAGATGCCTGGGCAGCATTCCTATCTGGCCAGCGAATGGACCATCAACTCACTCTTGAGTAACAGAGACTGCTGCTCGCTGTGGATCCAGAGGGTCGCCATGGAGGGCTCAGACTCATGTGGAAATAAACTGAAGTCCTCCTTGATTTTTATGTGCAAACTAGAGACCCAGTACACAAAATTTGTGCACTGGGTGGGGGGGGGGGTCCTTCAGCCCGGATTGTGAGAGGGTGCAGGCCAGGCCAACGGACCCCATTGGTGCACGATCAAGGTCAGAAAGGTACATGGGAGGTTGGCCAGCCAGAGAGGGACTGTGGGAGGGCTCCAGGGCGGGTCGGGCCCATCTCGCTCAGTCCCGATCAGCTGGACCCCAGCAGCAAGCTAACCTACTGGTCAGAGCATCTACCCCCTGGTGGTCAGTGCACATCACAGCAAGTGGTTGAGTGGCCTTAGCATTCATTAGCATATCTTGCTTTGATTGGTTGAATGGCTGACCAGATGATCGGACACTTAGCATATTGGGCTTTTATTATATAGGATGACCAACAATGCCATAGACTTCCCTCTTCATGTGCATTTAAAGTGCAATTTACTGGTAACCACAGACCCCCTGCCTTTCAGTCCCCGCTCCCCCTCAGTTCTTTGGAGGTCACTTTGGACACCTCCCATTCTGTCCTCACCATCAATTCTGAATATACGTGTCGAGTCTGTCTCTCTCCCTTGACATGATCCCATCCCAGCACCAACTCTTTTTCATCTGCGCTTCTTCACTCCCTCCATCTCCCCCTGACCTCTCCATTTCGATTCCTGTCTCCCTTCTGTTACCTTTAATTATGCAAATCAGGCACTGCACCCCCCAGGCAGTCCATGCTCTCTCCTCCCTCAGGGTCTCTGCACATGGTACCCCTCCCACTGCCTCATGGCTGGCTGCTTGGGAAGAACTTTCTCGTCCTTTGTGTTTTAGGTTACATGTCGTCTCTTCAGAGAGGTCTGCCCTGACTACTTCACTTAAAATCAGTCCTCTCATCAGGCTCTTACAGATCTCTGGTCTTCTCATATATAACTTGCCACAGTCTGAAAGAACATATTAGTTAGGCCCTTTGCCCCCAGTTGCTGGGGAAAATCATTATAGATTTTTATAATAAATTCCCATCCCCATTAACCTGGAATTACGTGTGGGAGAAGCCACCAGAATACACATCAATGCTTCCAAGTCAGTCCTTGTGACTTTAGATTTGGGGCTCATATATGAGATACTTTGAAATAAACAGAAGTGTTTGTTATCAGTGAGCCCCTCTGTTGGACATCACTTGTAGTAGCTTATGAAGACTATCTTTTAGTGGTACCTGTCCTCCCAGGCCCGTAATGTGAGTTTAACATTATCCACATGGTCTGCATTTTGAGTAGTACCATTCCAATATATATAAAATAAAAAATTCACTACATATATTTTATATACATGGGATGCTTGCTCCAGTTATGCCATTTTCATGGTATCTCTCCATCCTGCCCCCCCCACCCCCCGCCACACCCCATCATTCTATTCAAAATAATGCCTCCCATTCATGGAACAATTCTGCTGAGCACTTACAGGGCAGGCATAGGTCTCTGCCCCATTTAAAGGGTGAGAAAGTGGCTCTTAGGAAGGTCGTACAGGTGGGAGAAATATGGGGGGTTATTTCTATTGGATGTGATGGTGGCCGTGGAGGTGGTGAATTCTGAGTTGTGTTGAACTGGGGCCTGTGGGGCTACCAGAATTGTGTCTGGTGTGGTCAGGCCGGAAATGAGCACACAGGTGGGGGTGGGCTGTGGGTGAGCTCTGCTGAGAACTGGGTACAGAGTACTATAAGGCAAGGGCCCATGGTACAGCCTTCATTAAAGGTAGGGGCTGCATTTGACAACCTTTCTGCATTCCTAAAACCACCTGTGAGACCACAGGCACAGAGGACGGTGATGCGCATGCCTGCCAGCTACCAGAGGCCCTGTGTTTACCTGGTTTCTGTTCAGATAGAGGACAGACTGACTTGATCATGGTGGTTTGGGAACAAATATGTTTTCCCTTCTTGCCTACGTTTAAGTCAACACTCACCTGGAAAATCTGTTTCAGACTGTGCTCCGAGGGCATCGGGAGACACAGCATGCTGAAGTGTCGGATGAAGCGGGGGGTCACTGGGTTGCGGCCACCACCTGGAGGTGCACACGCTGATGCAATGGTCACATCCTGTCCAGGGAGAAATCCACTTGGGTCACCCAACAGAGGGAAAGATGAGGTCTGTCCCTCCCAACGGCAGGACTCAGATCTAACAATTTTTGAGGACCTGCCCTTTGCAAGCATTGCATTACGTTTTCCAACACATTGTCTGACTTGGTTTTCACAGCAACCCCAGGAGATCACGATTGTTACCGCCATTTTTCAGGTTAAAAAAGAAGAAGGTCCTGGCTAGTTAAATCGCTCAAGGTCACCCAGCTAACTCACCTGCCTTAAATAAATACGCCAATGCAAAAACTTAATCTTAAAACATTGTAAGAATTTTTATCTTAAGTTAAAATATATTCATTCAACATATACTAACTTGACCCATACAGTGGATTCTCATTATTTGTGGTACTTGCGTTCCATAAAGTCACTGGGAACACAGAATTAACACACACTGCATAATTGCTCCTACGGGAAATACATGGTTAGGTTCCTCAGAGCCTCTGGTAACATTTCATCAATAGATCAATACAAGATATTGCAGTGGCCTCTGGTCTCTAGCCCACCCCTCACCTGCAGCCAAGGAGATGTTCCCATAACGTTTCCTTCAAAGCCCCCTGCCCCCACTTAGAGGATAAATCCATGTTTCTCATCATTAGATCCATGGCCCCCTTGGCTGATCTCTGCATTCCTGTTGCTTTGGTGTTCACATTCCACACCACCGTGGTGTTCCACATGTCTTGCCTATGAGATGCAGAATGCTCCCTTTCCTTGTTTTGCTATGCTCTGCCTGCAAAACCCTCTTCTGACCTCATCCCCTTTGGGAAGATTTCTCTCCTCCTCAACCCAGCCCCCAGCCCTTGTGCCCTCCTAACTCCATTTATCACCCTGCCTAATAAATACATGACCATCTACCCTCTAAAGCTGAGCCCTCTGGGAGGTGGGGGCTGCCTCCTTGTCCGTGAATGTCTTGAATCGAGCATGGCAAGAACTCAACATGGACTGATTAATTGAACCACATATAGGGAACACTGAAGCCATAGGTCATGGGCTTTCTCTTCTTCCTCCTGGCCAATCGTATGTTGATGCCCTAATGCTCAGTGTCTCGAAATGTGACTGTATTTGGAGATAGAGTCTTTAAAGAGGTAATTAATTTAAAATGAGGTCAAGAGAGAGAGCCCTAATCCAATATGACTAGTATCCTGATAAGAGGAGGAGGTTTGAATACAGATGAGTACACAGTTAAGATTATGAGAAGGCACAGGGAGAAGACAGTCATCTGTAAGCCAAAGAGAGAGGCGCTAGAATAAACAAACCCTGATGACATCTTGATCTTGAACTTTCAGCCTCTAGAATTGTGAGAAAGTAACTTTTTGTTGTTTGAGCTACTTTGTTATGGTGACCTGAGCAAACTAATACCCCAGTGGTTTTCAACCAGTGTTCTATGGCACAGTGGTGTGCCGAAAGAATTTTTAAAACAATTCCTGACTCTTTAATCAGGGGCACCGACCTCTTTTCCCTTAGATTGTCAAATGAAAAACTGACAACAGCCGTATCTTGAACCATAAACATATAGGTCATATAATAGGATTTCATCTTATTGATCACATTGCATAATAAGGCTGCATCTGATTAGTTAATTCTTGATACCAGAAATCCTTATATACAAGTATAGGCAACTGATTGTTTTTTAAATCACTTTGGAGCTAAAAGGCAGGTAATTACTGCCATTATTTTTTGTAAATCAATAAAAATTATGCCTATTTTGTGTCAGATTGACAAAAATATAACATATTTTTTGGTGTGTTGCAAAATTTTAGTACTTTATGTGTGCCATGAGATGAAAAAGGTTGAAAATCACTGTAATACACCATATTTCCTTGCTGTTTAAATGTAAACATGCAAAGTAATTTAAAACCTAAAGTAACCTGTATGTCTTTCCAAAAGAGTTTGTTTCTGTCATAAAATCCACCAAAATCTTGATACTGCCGAAGTAATTCAATCGGAGGCTGAGAGCCATAGCGATCCAGTCTGGGCATATTTAAATCATCAACAAAAATCACAATATGTTTGTTTTTTGGCGCTCCTGGGTAAATAAAATGAATTTGATTTAAGCATTATGATTTGCCTTTGGAAAACATAGAACAGAGTTTAGGTAAGGCTTTGAACTCAATGAATACCCCGTAGGTCATAATGAGCTCAGGAGTGAAGAGGCCCTAGCAGAGACCTCCCTCGAGGAGGAGAGACCTCCCTCTGGCTCCATCCAGGCCCCCTGCAGGGAGACATGGCCCGGGCCGCGATGTCCACTTGTCAGAATGTGCCTCACTCTCACTCTCAGAGGTGTGCAATGATGCCAGCTCTCCTGATCTCTCTCAATCCCAGCCACTGCCCTCACCAATGTGTGGCCTGAGCATGGGGTGAAGAAGGACATTTTCTTTCCACAGAGGAAGCAGAACTCCAAAGGCTTCTTCTTAGAAATGCCATCTCACCACCTTCTGCAGGGAAATAGGGCTAGATATTGAGACACACCCAGACCACATCAACAGGAAATCCAGCACAGCAGAGCTGGATGAGGCCATGTTTAACTCAAAGAAAACCAATAGACACACTTTTCAGAAAAAAGCGTGGGTAATAACAGAGAAAAGAAAACAATGTAAGCAGAGAAGGTGACTCAACCCATGCTGGCATCCAGCACTCGACAATTCCAAGGTCATTGAGCCAAACTCAGTGTCCCACTCCATCCTCTAGTCTCTGGAAACCAAGAAGCAGGACAGGAGGTGGGGAGGGCTTCTAAGATAATCATTCATAAAGACTTGGCTAAGATTTGGAAACAGCCTAAGTGCCCATCAGCAGATGAGTGGATTATAAAAATGGTGGTACATCTACACAATGGAATACAATGCAGCTGTAAAAAAGAAAGAACTCTTATCATTTGCAACAGCATGGATGGACCTGAAGAGCATTATGCTAAGCAAAATAAGCCAGTCAGAGAAAGATAAGTACCACATAATCTCACTCAAATGTGGAATCTAATGAGCAACATACACTGATGAACAAATATAGATCCAAAGACACAGGAGCACCAAACAGACTGTCAAACTTCAAAGGGAAGGCAGGGGAGGATGGGCGGGTGGGAAAAGATCAACCAACAAACTGGTATGCATATATGCATAACCCCAGAAGAGGATGGTGAAGGCCTGGGGTGGGGGGCAGGGGCAGGTGGGAGAGGTCCATGGGGGAGAAAAGGAGACATATGTAATACTTTCAACAATAAAGATTTTAAAAAATAAAGACTTGTCTCCCCTTCCCCACCCCCGCCTCCAAGAAAGACTGGCATCCATTGCCCTGTGCCTACTGAGGAGGAACACTGGAACAGAGAGGGGGCAGTGAGGCAGCTGGTATCCCCACCTCTTGGCAGGCCGGGGCCGATTAGATGATGGATAATATGGAAGGCAGCTGAGCTTGAGCGTTGGCTAGTCCTCCACCAGGAGGGCTGTGAGCTGGGCGAGTGGAGCCCAGAAGCAGAGGCTGCAGGGTGGGACTGTTAGAGGGTGGGACTGAGGGAGTTGAGACCCTGATTCCCAATGTCAGGGAACCTTCCCATGGGGGGCCAGTGCTTGACCTGTGCACAACTTTCCTGGAAGTCCCTCAGAGAGCAGCTCCTGGAAACCACCACACAGAGAGCATGGGCAGTCATTTGGTGCCAGCCAGAGAAGCAGGGACAGTCCACGCAGATGCCCATCTACACACCAGGTAGGGAGAGGCCACTTGTCCGTTCCTCTCCTCTTCCCTTCCCAGCGCACCAGAACCTCCTGCCCCTCCTCGCCTCCAGCACCTGGAGCCACAAGCCTGGCTTACAACAGAGGAGAGGAAGAGCTTTGGATGGGATGTGGGACCGAAGCTTTACATTGAACTAGCCTCAAAACAGCAGAAAGTGACCAGAGAGTTACGCTAGTTATCTAAGCAGTTGATAAGGAGAGGGGGAGGGAGATGCCACAAAGCCTGGCTGAAAGCCCTGACTGAAGTAAAAACAAAACAGTTTCATGCTTATTCTCTACTGAGTTCAGATAATGCATCAGGTATACACAGGTTGTTTGTTTGTTTAAAATAAAGGGGAAGGCGGGGGATAGTGGGTGGGTGGGAGGTAATCAACCAAGGACCTTGTATGCATATATGCATGGCCCATGGATACTGACAATGGGGTGGTGAGGGCCTGGGATGTGGGGGAGAGGTAAGGATGGGCTGAAGGGGGTCAATGGGGGAAAAAGGGGACATATGTAATACTTTCAACAATAAAGAATCCTATATAATAAAGAAGTAATATGCAAATTGACCATCATGTCC